TGGGGGGGGGGGGGAGGAATGTTTATTTGCGTTTCTCCATGTAGTTGTTGCTTCCATCGTAGTTTTATTGTAGTCGACTGTCCACATTTACGGGTCAACAACGATAGCGGTGCCCGTATATATCCCTAAAGGGAGAAAAAAGTCGTTAACCCCTCGTTATCTAATTTCACCGCGTTTAACCGTCGCGAGAGAGAGACTAGTGCGGAAGCCGCGCGGGGCTGGGCCGAGTCTAAATTTACTACATTTCATTTCTATCGCATGCCTTCACGGTCGATATGTAGTTTTAAAGTGCCACGAATCACACGAGACGAAATCTACAGCCCAGTCTCAGCGTTTATCCGACGGTCTATTAAATATCGAGGTCTAACGTGAAAACAGACGTTTTGTTATTGATATTCAAAGCTAGGTAACACGAAAAAAATATCAAACAACGCTGCATTACATCTGAACGATATTTGAAATATTTCCTGTAAAATTATTATGAAATTATATATTATACATAAATGTATTATTTTTAACTACTATACTATCATCAAACTGGATGCGACACCGTTGTACAGAAAAAAGAATTGTTGATCGAGTCGTGTTTTTTCATGAAAAATAACGTTTCACAAATTCAAGAGACAAATTTGTCCAATTTGATTTTTAATTCACGATAGACGATCGAATAACGAGCGGAATGTAATTTCCAAGTATTCATATTCGCGAATTTATATTTGTTGCGACACGTGACTGAAAAAAGAGAACGGAAGCTACTATTTTTCATTGGTACAAAAATTAGAGCACTCTTTTCCTCATTTCGCAAATGCTTTTAATTCATTTGTTTCGAGGGGGGTCGTCCAAGTCGCTCGTGTAAATGTTCGCGCGTGACCGACCTCACTCGGTCGGGACGACGGCCCGTGCTCGCTCGCGCGCGAACGAGCCAGAGATGAATGGACAAACGCAAGTAGGTGGCGGGCGGGGGAGGGCGAGAAGGGAGGATGAATGAACAACGCGGTCCGACACGGCCGGTGGGACGCGAGTGAAAAACTCTCAAGACGAATCGCTCGTTCACGATTTCCGATCGGCCGCGCCTTATCCGCGATCGGGATTACATTTTCGCTTTACCGGAAACAGTAGTCGTTCAACAGCAGTCGCGTGTTGAATCGACGTGACAAACGGTCTCTCGATCGACCTTATGGGTCGAGATGTGGTGTCGGTGGCTCGATAAATCGCGATAGAATGCGCGAATCGAATGAAATGGGGAGACCTCCTGGGATATCGTTAACGCGTTTCTGTCAAAATCGGGAAGCCGAGAAAAGTAAACGAAGCGACTGATAACGAGCCACTGATAACGGTAAATTTATCAGAAACCACTGAAATTGCGCAACATTAAGAGCCGATTTGTCAACGGCAGTTCAAACTTCAACTCTCTTTAGACGCGCATCAAACACATCGTTAGAACAGAGTTTAAGCTTGAGCTCCAAGTTTAAATCACTATTGAAAAACCGGCCCTAAGGATGAGAGAGATTCGTTTAATATCATCTAGATTTCATCCCGAGACAGACATTTCATTTAAGGATTTAATAGCGTAATTACGAACCGTCAGTCGTACTTAACGTTTAACGCGTCAGGGTGACATGGCAATTTGCCGGGTCTTCCTTTAATCGGGGAAAATTGAGCGACTTTCACACTCGTGGGAAAACGCGCCGAAGAAAGAAAAAAAAAAAGAAGCACGCAACAAGTTACGCATATGGGAACCGCATTTCACGATTATTGCATGCCATATTCGCTTTCCTCCTCGGCGAATCCGGATTTCTACACACGAGACCGTAATCATCTGCGTGCCATATGTAGCTGTCTCGTCTCACGAGTTCATGAGAAGCCTCCGCTCTTTTTTATCCGCGTGCCTTTTTCGTTTTTGCTTTATCTCTTCTTGACTGATCAATACATTCTCGCTGCCGATAATGCAGGTATCGATCGGGAAAAGCTCCATTATCGACGGTACATACAGGACGATGTATCGACTTGGGATAAAGTAAAAGTTGGTAACGACTGTGACCTACTTTACCCACCATTGAACAAAACGTCGTTGTCTTTATTTTATATACGCGCGCGACATCTAGTTATACATTGATCGAATGGAGAGAAAGAATAATCGTAAATTGTAAAATTTACGATTTCTTGGAAGAATTTTAACATATTGCGTGTGTGTAGATGTGTACGTGTGTGTTACATAAAATTATCTCTGGACATGTTTCAAGGATTGTACAAGTTGAACATACGGGACGGTAGAATGAAGCAAACATGTCGTATTTTCTACATTCTATGAGTTTTTTACGAGTGAAATAATTAAGGAACGACTTATCCGTAATTATCGTTCTTTGATTTTTCGATGCTCGTTAAAGGTATATAATTAAAGGGACTATTCTCGACGAGCTTACAACAATAGCCGCGATGAAATTGACAAACTATTATCGAGGAATCATATAGTACTTTGACGCATCTTGCTCCGCGAAGCTAACGATAAAACAAAAGTTGCACTCTGCTAATGTGTCAAACAGTTGCTACATGTTGTATTTAAGAGTTAGTGAAAGAGATTGTTGGCGTGACGAATATTTCTCAAAGTGACCATACATTTTTATTAGATGGGAAACAAGGGCGGGGAAGGAGACGAGCTGCTTCCGGTTGCCAGGTAAACGCGCCGGAAGTTGCCGCTTGGAGCCGTCGTAGTGCGGCCGAACGAACAAACGGCAGGGGGAAGATTTTGAGATTTGTGCCCTGCGCAGCGGCCGTGAAGATCGTAGATTTCGTTCGGTCTTTCCTCTTTCTCCTCTTCGTCCCGCGAGACTCGTCGTTGCGCACTTCTGTGTGAACTGCCACTGGAAAAAACGCACCAAGAAGCGTCGCGTTGCGAGCATGCGAAAAAGTCAGGATGAACCTTGAAATTTCGCCGACGAGCGGGCTAAACGATCGCTGCCATTTACCGATCGCTTCAAACTGATAAACTAACGCTTTTTTTTTTTTTTTTTCATTTTATTACACCGCGGTCGAAATGGATTCAACTTTGCTTGGGTATCGCGAATAAAAATGCAAAGGTTATCGCGCAGAGAAGTCCATTATCTGTTCGTTAACAATCGGTTATTCGTTAAATCGCATATTAAATTCCTTCGCGGTTAAACACGAGTTTACAAAAATGCGTTTTCCGTACTCTGACATTTTTCGAAAAATAAAAGTATCTGCCATTCAATGTAGTTTCACCCTTTGGGAAATATAAAGTTGCATGACATGTATATTGCTCCATTATATTTACATAATTTCTAATTAAGAAGTAGATAAAAGAGAGATTGTTACACAGCGAATAAGCGAGTTGAATCGACTCGGAAAAACGTTTCTCTCTCTCTCTCTCTCTCTCTCTCTCTCTCTCTCTCTCTCTCTCTCTC